GATTGGTGGTTAAGATCGGTTTCATCTGTAAATATCGGCCGATCACCAATCACCCTAAATTAAGGAAATCGGGGCCGATCGATCGGCCGGCCGATTTATCGGTGCACCCCTAATATATATGTGTGTGAAGGTGTCTCAAGATCTACATGGGAGTTTTGTATGGCTTACATTTTGACAAGGACTAACATATGTAGACAAAGATTGAGGAGCAGATGACAGTTGACTTAGTTAATAGTCAAAGATATAACAACAGAATACCCTTCGTTAGTATTAAACACAATGCAGCAGATACCAATGTTTCCTACCACAAAAGCTTAGGTCCAAAACAAAAGAGAAAAAGGTACCGTTCCATATCCTATGTAACCTCTGCAGCATACCAGTGTTTTGGGATATTTATTCAGTTTCAAAAAATGTAAACACAAAGACGGCTACAGGAAGAAAACCTGTCGTTTCATTCTAGGGCTTTTAACCAGGCTTGCATTAGGGCTCATAGAACAGCAAATATGTCATTGAAGATCTGGAGGAAGTTTAAAGTTAGGATGAGGTAGCTTTTTAAACTCAAAAGAATTTCAATTTATTTCTACATTGAAATCAACAAAACACTGATACCAGTCTCATAATATTGGTCTCAATTGATTTTGATCTCATATCCTTTATTGATTTAAATGTAGAAATTAGCATTTAAATCAACAAAGGAAACAGAATTTAGTTCCACTTACATTTGTACTTGTAGTTTCAGCATTTTCCCAATTGTCCTCCGTGTTTTCTTCTAGGACTTGCAGTGAGGAATGTGCAGCAGCATCATCTGCCTCCGAGGAATAACCATCTTCCTGTTCGCTAGTGTAGTTATCCGCTGAGAGGGTGGAAGAAGATTCGTGCTGCTCAGCCATGCAGGTTGTTGTTCCAGCTTCCTCTTCAGGATCGTCTTTTACTCTAACTGGGATGATGAAGTTTTCTTCTTCCCCTGGCCATTGTTGCTGTTCTATTTCCCAGCTAATTTCACATTCAACATCCTCTTCTTTTGGTCTTTTATTCACAGGCTCTGTTGTTTCAAGGTTCAGCGTATTTGGTTCTGAAGGTTGGCTTCTGGTATTCATGGTTGTTTCTTTGTACAGATCAACATCTATCATTTAGAAAACATAAAACAAAGACACACATTTGACAATAGATCTTGCTCCTTCCTTATAGGGTCATTGAATGCAACACCGAGTTTACATTGTCATAGATTAATAACGATAGTTCAGTGGGTGAAATGGATGTACAGAGAAGTTCAAACCCCATCGACACGTCCTTGCTCTGCAAATCTCACAATTCTAAACTTTCACTATAAAACGGGCGAATGCAAACGAAGCCCTTATTATTTTGATATACTGTATATACCTGGATATACTGTATATATATTGTTTATTCCTAATGCACCTTTTTTATCCTTGTTTGCACCTTCTTTAATTACTATGCCAATATGTGACGAGTGAATTTCTCCACTATGAGATCAATACAGCTCATCTTATCTAATATTGCATTTAAGCATTTATAGAGATTTCAAAATGAAAATGTCTAAAAGAAAATTAGAAATTTAAAGAAACGATAAAGATATGTTTATAATGTATGAAGTTTAGGTGAACGTTGACCCTTGCATTTCATAGGTCAGTATTGGTAGCCCTTCCTGTGACTCAGTGCCCCTGAATTAGCCCTCAACTGTAAAAAGGTTGGTGACTGCTGCCCTATAGAATCATTCTATTACCCCTCTAAAGAATCACACATTAGCTTGTTTTACCAAGTGGGAAATTTCTAAACAACTGGTGTAGCAAAAACAATTTAAAATCACTGTTATAAGGAGTGAATATTTGTGCAGTAATACATAGATGGAAATTGGGGAATGTTATTGAACTATGCCTCTCAGTTAATTCAATCGTAAAACTGCACAAATTAAAAGATCTTTTGAGGAACCAATAAATAAATGGTTGAAGGGTTGATGAGCCAGCTCTCTCATTGGTTAGACTGCACATCTACTTATTTGAATTTATGGTAACATAGACTCACATCCCCTACATTTTATTTATTTTTTTGTTTGTTTTGTATTATGAAGAAAAGAAAATAATGCTTTCCTTACTGAATAAATGTCCTATATGTTTACTTCCATTCCCAATAATCCTTTAAGACTCTTTGATAAGTTTACCTAATATTGATTTTTGTATGTTATACAAGTACCTTCCTTTCCCCATCTTCATCCCACCTTTTTGCCATATTTCTGTTTCCTCGGAATTGACTTCCCCTTTTCCAAATTGAATTGTTATTGGTCCATCCAAAGCCCATATAGTAGGGATGGGACGATTTATGAAAACCGTCCGAACCGTTCGGTTC